GTGGCAACCGCGTGTCGGGACCGCTTTAAACATGATGAGGGCACGTCGTATCGACCGCGGGACCCAATCTCCGTCCCGCATTAGTTCTATCTTATATATATATATATATATATATATATATACACACACACATAGTATGTATGATATGTATGACAGTAGGGCTTCGTTCTCGACCTAGATGTTAAAATCTATATACACAGCTTTTCGCTTAATCATCGCCAAAAATGGTATTTTAATAATATACGTACGTATATATATATATATATATATATACACACACACATACGTACATATGTATGTATGACAGTAGGGCTTCGTTCTCGACCTAGATGTTAAAATCTATATACACAGCTTTTCGCTTAATCATCGCCAAAAGGCTTCCCGATGGTATTTTCATGTACGACAATATTTTAGCGAAACGTGAGGCTTCCACGCATGTGGTAAATAAGTGATTTAAGTTTTTAAGTTATTATAACGAACTCGATGGCTCGTATATATTAGAAGTAGATCGATTTTAGAGATATCGAGGTGAAAGATGCGCAGTCATAAAGCACTTATTTCGTTTTTTATCGAGGAAATCTATTGAGCACGAAGGATGATATTGCACGGGGGATACTTTTGGCGAACGTCCAACTCGATCATGTAACCGATCTCGATCGGGCGGAGTTTCATGCAAATTCTCTTGCCGTCGGGTTGCTTCCTTGCCCACTTTGAGAAAAGCTCGTGCATTCATTACTTGCGTGTCACTGGAGCCACGAAAATGTCGTTTGCCAGAAGCAACCTGCACGGGAATCATTTTATGTGTGTGTGCGTGTGCTCTTACAACATGCTGCAATTGCAACTGCATCCACATCCATGTCCTCTTCAATGATCGCATCCGCGTATCCATCTTCGCGAATTATTTTATCGATAAAAATGTAGAAACGTACTTTGTGACTATAAAATAGTTTAATGCGTGCTAAGATATTATAAGATAGATGCTAAGAATGCTATAATTGAACAAATTTAATATATCGTAACAAAAGGCAAATATATTTTTTAACAAAAGCTTTTATAAAATTTAAATTATGTATGTGTGTGTGCTTTATTTTATTTATGTTTTTTATCTTTTGAACGACAAATGAGGAAAGTTTTCTGTTTTATACGAAAACTAAATAAATCGTATGTTTATAAATGCCGTGTGACTGCGCGTACTACAGTTGCAGTTATTGCAACACTACATGTATGTTTGGCATTCTTTTTCCTGCATGAGTTGCATCATCTGCATGCGTACAAAAAAAAAAAAAAAAAAATTATTAAATACACATGTTTAACACATATAAAACATGATAAGATATTCTAATTTCATACATATATTTTGCATTGCACTTGAATACACAATAATAGTTATTATTAGCTTATGATCACATATTTCAATGTTTCACAAAAGTAGTCTTTATTTGTACGAGAATCAGAAAGAATTTTATATATATTTCATTTTGTGTATATATATTGTTTTTGCATTCTATATTTGGTATAATTTTTATCGATGTTTTTATGTCTAATCCTTGGAGTAATCTAATTCTTAAGTATTAGTTACATCGCAAAGTTGATTTCGTAGGAGTTTATTATTTTCTCCAAAAATGCAACTGTGTGCGCTTGAAATTTTATATCGATCCTGCGACTTTTTTTCGCGGTACATTACAACAGTTATTTATTTTTAGCGGAGAAATTTGAAAAAATGTTTCGCACTGAAGAGATTAATTTTCTTAAAATTTAAAGAAAGAAGGGCTACCTTTACGGGTCAGTCGATATCATAGTCATGGGTTTTTTTTTTTTTATATTACTGCGTGTATCAGAAAAACGTAACATTTCCATTACCGGTATAGACAAGTACTTTCGCGACGAAAGAGGCACGATAAACTTGAAAAATTATTATTGAAAGTACGTGAAAAGAGAGCTTTTCTGTCTTCCTTGGTCTCCGCTTAAATTTCAAGATGTACAGATCGATAAATCACTGCGCTTTCTAGCTGCAACGACCAGCGAACGGTCTTTAATTCTACGTGGAGAATTGTGTGAAATTTATCTTCGATCGCCTTATACATGCAACTTTTTTTATCCAGATAAATTTTGACATCTCGAGCACATGCATCTTTTAGAGTTACATACTCCAGGAATTTTAAATAATGTGAACATGTAACAAAATGCACAGATTATATTAATTTTGCTACAGAATTTTTAATCTATGAATAATTTATACAGATAATATAAAAAATGGGATGTTATATTATATAGATTATATTTGAAATTGTTGTGCACAATAAAAAAATTAAATAAAGTGTTATAGAATTGTGTTAGTGAATAATTTTGAATATTTATGCCAATAATTTCTGATTTCGCTACTTTAATTATTCTCATATTTAGTGTCACAATTACTGTTACATCTTCTCATATTGTTTCGAGATCTACCAGATTATTTATATAGTATTTTGTATTAGTTAGTCTTTTTGGATGGGTTTTTCTTCATTTTAGAGACAGCATGAAAATTTAATGTAATGTAATTTAATTTAATTTAAAGACCATTTTTTTTCTCTCTCATAGTTTTTTATTTTATTACATATTGAATATCTTTACAACTAAGTTTTGAAATAAAAAAAATTTAGGTCAGAAAGAGAGATATCCTGATAAATTCGAAAAAAGTTTCGAAAAGAGATTATTTATCACGAGGATTCTCTCATGCATCGCGATCCGGAAAATGCAAAACGTTAAAAATGTACGAATACCTTTTATTCGAAGCGCACGAGCTACTCTTTTTTTATACGCGCGTGTGAATACTTTATAGGGCATAAAAAGTACCGCAGCGCACTTAGTTGCAAATCGTTGAAATCGTATGAGGTAAGTGGGTCCCCTTCCAGGCGGGTGAGCCAAGAGGGGACTCCTGGAGAAAAAGGGCGGATTAGAAAGGATGCGAAGGAGGAAAGTCACGGTTCTCGGGCGACGTGACACGAGGGGGAACACGAAAGAAAGGAAGGGTGCTGGAGAGGAAGTGGGCGATGGTGCGGTCGGGGTGGTGGCGCGGAAGGGTCGCGCCGCGACGTCGCACGAGGGCGGACGGGCGGACCATCAGTTCGCGTTCGAGCGGCCGCCGATATGGGTGTATGGATGGATGATCGGTCGATCGGACCGCATTATTTCATCATCCTCCGCGATTCCGCGGTCCCGCGATAGAAACCGTGTTAAAGAGACGCGTGTCGAGGTGATCGAAAGGAAGAGAATGCGGTATGTGCGTGCGTGTGTGCATGCGTGACGTGACGTGTGAAGTTGCCGGTCGACCATCAGGATGATCACTGGTGCAATATACGCGGAATGTGGCTAAGGACTTGAATGCATCGATCAATATTTATTGTAATGCCGATCTTTTTCGTTATACATATTATATTGACAGACTGTGATATCGATCGTGTAAAACTAATTTTGTATTAAGCTCATATATAATTTTGAATGTGAAAGAAGATTGATTAGTTAACAGAGTCTTTATATATAAATACAGCGGCTAGATCTACCATCATGTTATATTAATATTTATCGGTAAAATATGACAAGTAATGAGTATCTTCCAAATATCTAACGATATTAAAAATCTTTATTAATATTATCAGTATGGGGGGAAGAGAGTATGGTTAATAAATATTGATCATTTGAGAGTTTCTTAAAGGGTGAGTGTGTGATAACTAATCTGTTAATGTGTATATTTATTTATCGTTAGATACAATTGAAATATTTTGATAAGGAAGTTTTTAGAAATATGCATAGTTTACTGAATATCGTGATTAATTCTTATTATGAAAGAAGTAAGGAAGTATGTATTTCGCAAATTTATCTTCAATTTTATATGGCCTGTATATAATGTTTAGAATGATTTCATGCATTTAAAATTGTTCTTGTTAAACTTGCATGTTGGTATATGACATGTTTCCGTGATCGTGGTTTCTTTGCAGTGTTTTAACCTTGGCCGTTTAAATACAACATATTTATGCTTCTATAATATGTGCATTCATGATATCTGATCGTTTTTATTTTGATTGTGAGATTGTGAAAAATCGCGATTGTGTGTGTTATTTTTTCTCTTTTCTTATATTTTATCTATTTGAAAATAAAATTTCCTTTTCTAAATTACACACTCACAGAGATTATTAAAATTTATCGAAAATGTAGAATGATTTACCATTATAAAAAAGTATTTTAATTAAAAAATTTTAAATAAAAAATAATAAATGATTTTAATTCATGTTAGATTTATTTAAAGAGAACACAAACTGTCAGTCATTTATTATTGATAAACGTTTGAAAATTAAAAGTTTTTAGCGCATAATACTTTTTTTAAAAATATATATACGAATAACACGAATTATATATTGTATATGATTTTTCACCTAAAATTGCCCTATTTCAGCAGAATTCTTATTTGTATTTTAAACAAATATTGATTTTCTGCTAACTTTTTCTCACGAAGAAAACAATTCCAAATTTGTCAAAAAATTTATTCTTTAGCGATAGTGAGCTATTTTCTTTAAATTTGCAAAAATTATTACGGCTGCAGTATAAACGAAATTATGCTAACGATCTAAATGAGTAATTTAAATTGTAAACAGTTTAGATTAACTGAGAGAACATTATTTAGTAATTTTGCTCTCTTTCAATATTAGTAGAGACAGACAATTTAAATTAGCAAGATCAACTAGAAATTACATTAATGCTATTAAACGTAGCATTCATAGAAATAACATAGAAATAACTATAGAAATATCGCATAATATTGCGATATTTATGTCATTTTCTATTAAAAAAAAAAAATATATATATATATATATAATATTACTTTGTTTTCTGTAGATAATTATTTTGAAATTAATTAGACAATTATACTATGATCTTTCATGCAATTTAAGATTCTTCCCGGTCAATTCCTGGGGTATTGAATTATCGTCGGTCTACATATTCTATTAGAAATTGAAGATAAAATTGCGTAAAAGTATCCAGGTTTACATAGGAGCAAAATATTCCTATATTTTTAATTTAATGCATTGCAGTTTATAAACAATGATTTCGTTAAATTCTATTTTATTTCGCTGCCACATATATGACATGCATAAAATGTTACTTACGCATATGTTCGCAATGTCACGTTATTTAACTTTAGAATCTTTTTTGCAATTCATTCTAAGCCATTCAATGAACTTTTATCCATTTTGATTTATTACATATAATTTAAATACGAATAATGAGAAGCTAAAAAAATTCAGCAATTTAAACGAATAATTGCGATGGAAGACGAGTAAACAAAAGAACAATCGAGCAATAAAATATCAAAATTTATTTTATTGAAAATTTCCGGTGAAAATATCCATGGTGAATATACATGTATTTGCATTAACAGTATACCGAATAATTTGTATATGTATGGATACGATGTAACAAAATTACAAATATTAGTGTCCATAAACGAATATATCGCGCGATACTTTAATAAGTTTAATATAATATAGAATAACACACACACACACACACACACACACATATATAACATATTCTAGATAGAATTTATATGCTGAAATATTTTCACACATTAAATAAAATAAAGTAAAACATTTATAAATTTATAGATTCAAAAACATACGGTTGAATTAGATTATTTTTTATATTGCATAATTTATTTCACACACACATGATTCAGACAGAACATCCTCTTATCTGAATTTCTATTTTATTGATTTACACGATAGAGAACGGATATGTCTCATCGAAATAAAATGTACTCTTGATTCACGAAATTCTTTCGAAATTATGCTTCCAGCTGTAATTTCAATCGGACGTTAATTGCCGTTATTTCGGCCCGGCAAAGTTAATCGTCTCGGTCTTTCCTGCTCTGTTCATTGTTTTTGCAAACAGCTATTCGCTCTCCTTGACAAACCGACACGCTCGTCCCGATATAAAACACTTGTCGGCCCGAAAGCGTCGCTGTGTACCATTTTAATTGCATTTTAATCTGCGCTGCCCAGCGTGTTGGACGTTTCGTGTTTCTGGCGACTAATTACCAGCGCGAGCATAACAGCATGAATGCATCTAAGGCGCTCACCTAATTACAACGGTCGGTCATATGCACATATGTATACATGAGGCAATACAGTACTTATTAAGAATGGATTAAAAAAAAGCTTTTTTGTTTATAAAATAGGTTATTTGAAATTATTTACTGTAGAGCTATTATGCATTGACTGTGCACTCGTACTAAAGTTTGTTATCGATCAACTTATTTAATTTTTTTTATTTTACATAAAACACTGTTTTATCTTCTTAAATACTCAAATTAATAAAGATTATGAATATATTTATACATTTCTCCATATCTAATTATATCTGGGTTTATTCTACTGTCAGTTTCGGATACTGAATGATAAGCATATCAAAATCTGTCTTGAATTCTAGAAAAGATTATTATTTAAATTAAATAATGTCTCTTTCTTTCTTGTTTGACTAAATTTCGTTTCAATAATTTATATAAAACTTCCAATATTTTGTAGTACTAACATTTACATACAGAGAGAGAGAGAGAGAGAGAGAGTACATCGTTATTAAATGTAAATTAATATTGTTCCGGAAACGGCAAACCACTATTGTTCTTTGCTTTATTAATTATATTTAATAAAATTAAATAATTTCTGTTAATTAATTAATTCCTAAATTTTTATTTATGGTTTATTAATTGTATAGTCTTTTTCTTAATATAAAATTATATTATTTTTTGTTAATATTTAATTGAACATTTCATATATTCTCTATTATAATTTTAGGAAGATAATTAATATTTTTTTTAGTATGTTTTTTTATATAATAATTTGTGCAGACTTGAGCTTTTTTGCATTGGGAGATAACAAATATGAAGTATCTTTATTAGAGCAATAAAATAGAAAAAATTGTAATTAGCACCTGATTACGCTATACAACCATTTCTCCTGGTAAAAATGTCAGATCAATGTCTCGAAGTGCGTTATCATATTAGAGTACACGTGCTTTATCGGCAGGCGATCGTCTAAACGTAGTCTATGATTAACTAAATCTAACAATAAATTTTTATATTTTAAAATAATGTGGAATGAGTCCTCGCGCGAAGATAGCACAAACAAATAATAAATTAACAAAATATAAAGATATAAATTACTTACTTCCCATGTTTGCTCCATCGTTACCTGATGGCTTCCCGGATGTTCTCTTCCTCTTTTAATTGTCCTTTGCTGCTTCTTCATGGCACTCACTCGCGAAAACATAATAATTGATAATTTAGTTAATTTATTATTAGTTGTTTCTAAAATTTTTTGTTGATGCCGTAATGCTTTATTAAAACGAGGAGGTTCTTACAAATACGAAAGCTCAAATGAAAGAAGACTCGTTTAATTCTCTGTATTTGAGTTTAATGAATATTGAAGAAGCTCATTGTACTCTTAAAATGAATAATACATCTATCTGTTAAAAGAAATCTTCATATCGCTGATATAGACGAGATAATAAAAGAAATGATTAGTGTACATATGCATTTTCGAGCTTCTTTCCATTCTGTATTATGGAGAACGGAATTTCTTTCATCGAACTTTTCTTTGTAAGGTAGTCGGCGAATGAACTTTCGCGTTTTCCTCGCACTTTTGAGAGTACCGAACGGAATTTGTCGAATTTGTTATACGCTTTCGCGCGCGCGGAGGAAATACGAGAAAGCCACGATGCTCGGAAGAAACTGCATTCTTCCAGTGATCGTTTTTTAGCTTTCGATAAATAGACAGGAACCGTCAAATGACGACTTTCTTGTGGAAATAAGGCAGACAGAAACTTTTTACTGCGATTCACTGCTAGACGTAAGAAGCGCGACTATGTAGATTTTTCTTGAAGATTTAGTTTTATGGAGCTCGGAAAGCGGTTTCATCTCCGGAAAAAGCTCTTTCGACGAAAAACTTCGTCGATTTGTGATTTTGCCTCATGTTTCAAGATAGTTATAGAAAAGAAAAAATTTCCTATCTTTACAAGAAATAAAGTTTTAAGCATGTATATGAGTGTGTATGTGTAAATGAACAAATCGGTTACCATATTTTGATATCACGCAAGAATTTTTACATATGCGATATTTTCGCTTTGCACATATAAGATTAATAAATAAAATAATAGATATAGATTGTTTTTCATATAAGTATATAAAATAAGGAAATAATCTTATATGATAGAGATATATAAAACTTAATCCTTCAATCATAAATTTTATTTTGTTATATTTCTACAGATAACTTATAAAGAAAAATTATTTAAATTTAAAATATATGCTTTTTCTTTTTTTCTTGTATATGTTAAAAAAATTACTATCTTTTTGTGATCTTTTTTACGGAACAATCGTTGACGTCATTTTGATTACCAACCATAATTTGAATTCACGATACGAACAATTTCGTGGAACCTAGCTAGGGAAATTTTTATATATATGTATACATATGTTGTTTAAAATTTTCCTATTTGAAATTGTATTAGAAATTTATATTACTTTATAAAACTTTATAAAACTACATAAAAAATAACATCTCCGATTTAATCACCACTTAAATATGTTGTAGAGGAGGTTTTTTTGAGTAATTCCCCGCAAGAAATAAATGGGAGACGGCATTAGTTTAGGAGATATAACAAATTGAAATTTTACAATTTTAATGCTTTTTCTATTAAATGTAAAATAAGGAAAAATGAAGTTTGTTTACGTTGTATTCGTGTAGAGTAGACGTGGAAAAAGTGTTTGTTTATATTTACGGGATAGGTATATACTCATAGATACTTTGTCAATAATGTGTTTCACCTATTTCTCGCAGTTCGTTAAAAGTTTTCAACATGCTACTATACGAATTTGTAAGCCTTGTTGAAGGTAGGAATAAGTTAATAGTAAATTGGGGGGGGGGGGGGGGGGGGGGAGTAGAACCCACTGCGTCCACGCTAAACTTTAATATCGTAAACTTAAAATATTTAAGAAATACAACTGGGATAGTGTTGTGATATGTAATTATTTATTGTAAGCATTTTCCATATAAAATAATATAAATACATATATAATTATAAATAATATACTTGATAAGGAGTAATTACAAACATTGTTTAATTGAATGAATCATATAATTACTCTAAAACAATTACGTCTCCATCTGAATATTTATACTTATCAACATTATACGCTTGGTATTTATTTTGGCATATTATTATATTCGTCATATAACAGTAGTATGCCAGTGGAGACACGCAAGAAGCGAAGAACATTTTTCGTAAAAATTGATATAAAACATTTAGAAATGATTAATGAAATAATATATTTTTGTGAAAATGGAATAGGAAACGAAACGATTGATTTTGTTTCTTGCTTTTGCAATACTTGTAATAATCCAGATTCTCTGGATGATCAGTCATATTTGTTAGTAAAGTACGTGTCTATAGCGAATACTAGGGCAGCTAGGATTGCGAAAGAACCGGCTGCAACCATTTGGTCACTATACTCCTCCAGATACGCGTGAATCAGATTAGTCGAGAAATTGTCCCAGTCGCGAATTAGAATGAGGCCAGCGGTGCAACACAGAATCGCTCCCATTGTCGTAAAAATGAGAGCCTGCAAAATCAAAGAATAATATTTGCTATTTGTTGAAAGGAAGAAATATATCCATTTTTCATAATTATGCATTGTTATAGCTACTTGCGTACATTGAAATTCATCAGATCAGATAGGAATACAATAAAACTAGTAGAAAGATAAGAAATTAGATTTTCAAAATTATCTTTTTCAAGACATGTGAGAGAGGATATAGTGAAATAAATCTCATATCTCTTCACGTTTGATTTTTTTTATTGCATTCAAAGTTTAAAACAATGGAATTTTTAAACAGCACGATGTCATCCTACACCGAATCGAATTTAAATAATTCGAATATATAGAAAGTAGACGATCCAAGAAATTGAAGCAGCGACGACTGAATTTTGTTCCATGCATTTTAATATTCTGCTAAATCGAAGAGAAAGCACATCAATTCTTTGATTCTCGATATATAATTTAAAGTTTTTCGCACAGAAACAGAACACGATTTATATCGAAAAAAATGTTAATTCTTCTCAACTATCTTTTTTTTTTTCTGAACAAAAACATTTTTTTTTTTATTAATAATTATCTATATTTATGTTATAGATTGCATTTATCATCGAATGAATTATTTTCACTTGTAAATGATAGTAGCAATATTTCATATTTTAACTTACTGTTTTTTTCGGCAATCGTTCGCCTAATAAATGACTCATGATAAGAATTGCATTTATAAGAACATAACCGCATACTGCCACATGAAATATCGCTATATGGTGTATATCAGCCGGCCGTATTTGATTTTGTTGAAATGGTCCTGCCACCAATCCTGTCGCAATAACGCAGAAAATCTACAACATTTAATATGTGATTGTTCTTAAAAAGTATTTTTGTTATATAAATTATTTTTAGAATCTCACAATTTTAAATTTTTTAAAAATGTTTTTAAAAAATAATGATAATTTATATATATAGTAAAATGATTATATGATTTATGGTTACTTTTGCGGAATTTTGAAGTTTACATTCTTGCCAAAATATGAAGAAAGATATTTAAATATGAAAAAAGACATTTAAATTCTGTTTCTATCGGAAGATTAAGAAGATTATATTTCCATCGCGTGTGTAAGATATCGTTATTTAAGATCGGAATAATATGTATTTTCACCAGTTCGATAATTTTGCAGAAAAAGGGTGCTTCTTTAAGATATCCCTTCAATCTCGTCAAGAGGGTGGATGCAGTGGTCTCCTCAGCCATTTTTGAATCACTTTTTGTGTTATGTTACACTTTTTCAATTTAGTAGACACACTCACACTTTATAATCACTGGGAAGAAATATTCGTCGACATACATTCGAAGTATGACGATGACTGTTTCCAGCTACGCTGAAACGCTCCACCCAACTGTTGACCTGTCAGTAGCCAGTAGTCACACTGGCTAACATTAAATCGACTAAGTCCCCACTTCCTCGCTACTTAAATGCATTTAATGCGTTATTGTAACAGTTCTTGGTACTCAAACCTTGGCGGAGGGTCTGAGATGATCTGTGTTCCACATCTCTCTCTTTCTCTCTCTGAAGATGGACTTTATCGTTGCAAATACGAATATTGTAAATACAGATGAGCCGCGTGAATAAAGATGATTTATTGATATCAAGTTGATTACACTTAATAATAATTTTAAATAATATTATATATGCAATAAATACATAATTTATTAGTTTAATAAAAACTTTTGCCCTTTATAATCTCTTATATAATGATTATATTAATAGCATTGATCAAATGTTATTCGGGATTATTAAAATTGATTCCAGAATTTGGTATAAGAATGTGTATTTTTGTGTAAAAATTTGCTATGGTATGATAATAATAACAGCGCAAAAGAGTGGAATAAATCTGGGGATAGTCTGGTCCGACCGAGAATTACGTTCGTAGAAACGTGTATTTTTTGTTGAAAATTCAGCGGACGAGCAAACTGTCGCAACGATCTGCTGAATTTTATGACGATGCAAGAGATAAAGGTAACAATTGTCTAAAGTGACTAATCGAGAAATGCAGTGAATAATTTTGCATCTCGTTGCATCCTGTACGGATTGTTGCGGACGATTTCTTATTGAGGTCGAGTTCTCTGTTATCAAATCGTCTCTTAGGATCGTATATTTTAATTAAAATACTTTAATTTAACATGATTCATGGAAAAAAAAGATACTGTAATTTAACGAAATTCATGGAAAGAAAGAAACGCGTAAAAACGTTTCCCATTTTCGAATGGGAACAAGGCACGAAAACACACACACGGTATATGTGCTTACACTATCTACTATCTACCCACATTCATCTCATCGCCACACTCGATTACTCGCTTAATTTATCATAGCTTCGTCCGACTTCTTTCCCGTCTCATTCTCTTGCCCTAGTCACTTTTCTCTGTCTTTTCATCATTAACGAATTCCCTGCTTGCTTCTACTCATTTGAACTATGTAACATACTAGATATAGCATAGGTACTCTGGAATTATATAATATACTGGAATGGCCTTCAAATAATGGGGATGACCGAAGGGGATAGTTTTATAGCTGAAGAATGTCTATGCTTGTTGCAATGTTTCTGATTGCCTAACAATGATATTCTCAAAAGGTTGTCCTTTTTCAAGCTGTGGCCGCAAATCACTGTAGTTTGTTAAGTGAAAAATTAAGTAAAAAAAGAAAAGTTTATATCTGATTAAAGGTTTAAAAATGGAATCCACTAAAGCACATTGTTTTAAATCGAATATCATATATTTTATATACGTGGTTATAAAGAAAGCTCCAGTATGTTATGTAATGCTTCCATTATTCGTCGTTTCTCTTTTTGACTTGATCTTTAATATGTTTTAGGATTTTATGAGTTTTATTAAGTTAATATACTGTTGAAATGTATTATTTTGCAAAAAATTCGTTATATTGAACGAATTTTTGCGAAATTGACTGCGCAAATTCAAAAATTAAATTATGAAATCTTTCTTTTCTTCAGTACGAAATAATTTAATTACTGTTATTTCCATAAACGTTACAAGCTTTTATTCTAAATGTTCAAGTTCTTATGAGTTTATTTAATGTTATAATCTCTTGCATTGTAACTTTATTTTACTTTTTCTTCATCGTTTGCTTTTACCAATTTTTGCTTAGTTTAATGCTACTCGCAATGCATTTCGCAAGATTAAATGTAGGAGATATGCCGTGTGTTAAAAGAAATTCAGTAACTGTTGCGCCGTGTATTTTTTTAATTGAATATATGCAGCAGTGCACCAATATAAAATACATGTTATGGTAAAATGTTCACGATTTCCGATTGATGAAGATATACATTTTAAAAAGAATTCAGGATGAAAAAAAAGAAAAGTTTATATCTGATTAAAAGTTTAAAAATGGAATCCACTATAAAGCATATTGTTTTCAATCGAATATCATATATTTTATATCCGTGGATATAATATTTAGCTAAATCAAAAGCTTTTAACAATTAAATTTACATTTTCATAGAATTGAGATAAGAAAATTAAAAAAGATTTCTTCTCTGTAAGACCCGATATTTTGATTGTATCATTATATATCTTCTATATATCTTTACTATACATATATATATATA